TGGCTCTATTTTTGTGCCAGTACCAAGCCGTTTTCATTACTACAGCCTTATAGGCATTCAATCTTAAAGTGATAGAAGTCAAATTACTAATGAGAAATATGTACAGAAAGCTGAAGAAAATTTCTAGCACAAATATTCTAACCTTGCACTCTTTCAATGATGAAGGTTGATTAAATGGATTAGGGATCCTTTTATTTATTTAGTATTGTGTTCATCCTTTAATATTATTATTGTAGAAAATTTCAAACATACCAGGAGAAAGAATATTATAATGAATCCTCATGTCTCATCATACAATTTGGATATGTATCACTGTTTAGCTCATCTTAGTCTATGTATTCTTTCATACATACTATATTTTTTGCTTATTTTGAAGTATACCCAGATCTCACACTTTTTATCTGAAAATGTTTCAGTGTGCATCTCTAACAGATAAGAAATGTTTTTTTAATAACACCATACCTTTATCACATTATGACAATAATTCCATAATATCATTTTATACCTACTCCATATTTAAATTTTTCTTTTTAGGGTTGGTTTGTTTGAATCAGAATCAAAACAAGGTCTATATGTTACATTCAATTATGTCTCCCAAATCTCTTTTATTCTGTAACAATCCTTTCTTCTTTCCTTTTTTAAATGCCATTGATGTCTAAAGAAATTAGATCATTATTCTGTCTTTAACCAGTTGCTTCCATTCTGCATTTTTTGAGCTGGGTCCTCTATCCCCTGAATTTCCTATGGAAAGATAACTAGATTTGGAAGCTGTACTAGATTTGGATTCAGCTTTTTGGAGGGATGTAATACTTTATAGGTAATTCTATATGTTTCCTAATGACCCACTTAAAGAGGTACATAATGGAATGGCTGTCTGTCCCACTGAGTGATCTAAGATTGCTTGGTGTGTTTATGTGGTTTCAGCCCGATCCCTCTGTTATAAAATTCCCCATCAAATTTTCACCCAATGGTTTCAGCATCTGTTGATGATCATTTCAAGATGCATTATTTTATTCAGGGGTTATAATATGGCAGTTCTCTAATTCTATCATTTATTCTGCTTTTTTAGCCAATGATAAAGAAGAATTTTCTCTTGTCTGCTTTTTTAATTCCCTTATATAAAGTACATTTATAAAAGGCAGGCTGCAAGGATATAGTTATAAGTTGGAACCCTTCAATAATGACCAATGATATTGTTTTAGGATCAATAAAAATGAATCGTGTTTTATTTGATGGGTTTTTATCAATATGTCACTTATCTATCTCTTATGATTCTTCTCCTTGTCTAGCTTGAATATGGTTGTTTGCCTTTGTTATTAAATAAATATTATATTGTAAACTTAAAGTCAAGGTTTATGTTTTAATCTTTGGCTATTCATATCAGAATAATTTACAGTGAGTAGACAGGCAATAAATATTTGTGGCATGGAATTGAATAGACTCAAGTCTATATAGAATATTTAGGCTGGAGGAGGCCATGAAAGATTGTTTAATCTAAGCTCTGTCATCAGGCAAATAAATATCTAAGCCATTCAAGATATACAAAATAGATAGGTTACTGTGCATCTTAAAGAACCCTAGGGACAAGGATTCCAGAACTCCTAGAAGGATATTTCCAATTAGCATTTAAAAACCTCTTACCTCAAAAAAAAACCAAAAACACACAAAAAAACCCTCTTACCTCATCATTGAGATCAATATGTTCTTTTTATTAATCCCATTTTTCTTCTAGTATTCTTGTGGAAGCGAAAAAACATTCCTCTACATATTTCCTTTCTCATATTTCTTTAAGCCAAGGAATCTGTGCGCTGCTTTTATTACTTCAAAAATGGACTTGTGTTCCAAGTTAAATGTTATTTTTTGGTTGTTTAAATTGATTGTTTATAGTCTTCCATGATTGTGTTTGCATTAATTGGTCCTAATTGATTAAGTAGCTGTATATAAGTTTCCTGTTGCTGCTGTAACAAATTACCTCAAACTTGGTGGCTTAAAAATATTACAAATTTATTATCTTGCAGTTGTAGTTCAGAAGTCCAATCTGGGTCTCGCTGAACTAAAATCCAGGTGTGGGCAGGGCTGCATTCCCTTTTGGAGGCTCTGAGGGGAGAATCTGGCTTTTTGCCTTTTCCACTATTAGAGGCTGCTGCATTCTTCTCCCACTTCGAACACTAAGTCAAGCTCATGGCCATGGCCATGGCCACAGCACTCTCACCCTGGCCTTCTTGTCTGCCTCCCTCTTCTACTTTTAAGGACCCTTGTGAGTATATTCAGCCCACCTGGATGATCCAGGTTACCCTCCCTATCTTAAGGTCAGCTAATTAGCAGCCTTAATTCCAGTTGCAACCTTATTTCTCCTTTGTCATGCAGCCTCACATCTTCACGGGTTCTGCGGATTAGGATGTGGGCAATCTTTGGGGGGCATTATCCTGCCTGCCACAAAATGTATGTGTGAAATTTGTGG